ATATTCCCATTGGGAATCAACCAAGGAACCAGTGGCAATGTCACCAACAATTGCCTAGGCCAGGGGTGTCAAACCAGCTGCCCTCCAGCTGTTGCACAACTACAAGTTCCATCATGCCTCTGCCTTTGGGAGTCATGAGTGTAACTGTCAGCCTTGCAATGCCTCATGGGACTTGTAGTTTGGCAACAGCTGGAGGGCCGCCAGTTTGACACCTCTGGCCTAGGTGACACCAAGACAGGAAGTTATGGGAAATCTTTTCATTAGGAACACTGCAAGCATTAGACAGATATACAGTACATTATAACCTTTTTACACTCAATCCAAAAGAATAAAAAAAAATGTAAAGATCTGCCTCAAAACAAATAAAAATTGGATTATGCATACATAATAAGTAAATGTGTGATGGTCCTTGTGTGCATTTATAATTACAAACTTTAAAAAGCAACACAAATTTAAAAACACTATACAAATTATTTATAGCAAGTTAGAGGATAAGTTCACCTTTTCTAACATGTATTTAGGGTGTAACATGTTAGCACTGCAGCTGCTCCCACGCCCCCAAGTCCCCCCTAGGGACCTGTAAACCAGTGAACCCACAATCAGCTGATAGTTGGTGTAATGCCACAGTCCTGCAGACTGTCTGTGTATCTGTCTGCCCGTACCTCCAATCTGGGAAGGCAGTTGCACACTGACAGGAAGCTCAATGAACTACCACAGTGATCAACAGCACCCCAAAAGTTCATTGAGAACTGCAAGCCGACCTCTGCAAAGGAAAAACATTGTCAATGAATGATGCGGCTGGGTGGGCTGCGCCCTGCACAGATTGTGACAGCCAGCAGGGGGAGAAGATCCCCCACTAGCTGTTAAAATGGAGGATCGGGATGGGGGGGGGGGGGGGGCTCAGTCCAGTGCATCTGTAACATGTTACAAAAGGTGAACACTTGATGCCACTAGTCTTCTGGGCTAAATGATGGCCAGCATCATTCGACCTGCTTCCTCTTTGCCCAGGCTGTCATAGAACTGTCCCTGAGGGTACATCATAGCCCTCACACATCATTACATGAGCACTGCTCAATCCAGGAGCAATACAAATTGTTGTGACTTATATTTGCAAATGTATGCAACAAATGCCTCTGCTTCGAATGCAAATTGTTAAAGCAGTTTAGAGTTTTTTTTTCCTTTTTTTTTTTTTTTATTGTATTGTTTTGTAAACTGCCCTGCCCACATGCACCATACATATGATAAGTATAAATTGACCTGGGCACTTGCCATTTTTATTTTGCGAGAATTTAGATTGACACCAAAGGTCTTAGCTGCCATCTGAGCTGTGCTTGGACTTTGTCTTCCCTGCTCCCCTTAATTTTGCAGTCAAATTTGGGAAAACCCCACTATTATTATTATTATTATTCGGGATTTATATAGCATATTTGTTATGTGTTCCCATTCACACAAAATGTCTAAAATAAAAATAGAAAAAATATTGATGACTTTTTAGCTATTTCTCAGGAGGATGTCTAATGACTGGCTACCAGTTTTGTTTTTTGTAACAATGTTATCTGTCCTCATTAACATCGTCAGCAACAAAAGAAGTCCAACATCTATAACTGTATGACCCTTTGTTAGGACAGACGGTGTTCACATCTGGTTACAACTGATAAATAATATCTGCCTGCACAATTCAGAAAGGATTAAATATGGCAAACACAGCTGACCAAACAAAGAAAACTACCTAGGATTTTTCTTTGATGGAGGGTCCAGAATAGAGCATCTAGAAAAGTATGCTGCAATGTTTTAATATTATATTAATTGATGCTATGTGAATGGGGAAATGTGGACAACTATTTGTGTGCGTTGTGCTGGGTTTTTTTTTTCTGTTGGTTGAACTGGATGGGCTTGTGTCTTTTTTTATTTGTTCCAACAAGATTAACTATGTAGATATAAAGTAGGTGTTATCCCAATTTGGCTGCAAAAGTGAAAATGAACTTCAAGGAGCACCGGACTACCTCCAGGCATACCTGCCTACAATTTAATAATTTCTATGTCCCTAAATAGGAGCTCTGATACACTGATGTTAGTGACCACACTTTGCAGAGGTACAATTTATTTTCAAACATATGCAACAAAAACCTCTGGTTTTAATGCAAATGATTAAAGCAGTGAAGCGGTTTAGACTTTGTTTCCTTTTTTTTTTTTTCCGACTAGCAGGAAAGTGTGCTAAGGTGCTTTTTGAATGGTAAGGGTCTGTGACTGGATAGGATCCTACCTATACAGGGCTTCCAGTTTATGGGCCATTCATGCTGACCATACAACACTCTTGGCTCTAATATTTTACATAGTTGAATCAACTTCAAGCAAAAAAGATAAAAATAATAATTAAAAAAAAACCAAAAACACCTTTATCCACAGAACCCTTAACTTGCGAATGATCCAGAGAAAGCGGAAAAAAAAAACCCTTTAGCATGATTCAATTTTCTCCATTAAAGAAACAATTGCTTCTTTTTATGTCCAACAGACTAAATTCTTACTGGAAATTGATGTCCAAAGTGTCAAGAAATTCTTACGATCATAGTTTTAGAAGCTGTACATGGCAGCTGTACTGATGGTAGAAGATTAGATTTTGTCAAAATTCATTACATTTAATCAGAACCAGCAGCAGATAATGAAAAGAATACTAGCCCATTAAACCGGGAAATAGAAAATTGGAAGGTACAGTACATCAACCACTGATAAACACATAAAGGAGACAAGAAAATGATTGCACAAATAGAAAGAAGATGGAACAAGCTTTTAGATGACGACATACAAAATATCTGTATACCAGTTATTGGGGATAAGTGGACTGATTTTTGCCTCCATTAAAATATTGCTAAAATTGGCTTCAAATTTGGTTCAAACAAAAATGGAGTTTATTTGTTACAAAACGGGGTGATCCTAATGTTTGTGATAGACAAAGCTAACCTTAATCCTAGTGCTAACCCCAATTCTTTGTTGATAAACAAGACCACAGGATCACCGTGACTGTGTGGACATGGCAAACATATATAAGAGCACTGTAAGGGCACCACACTAGTGGATATAGAGTCGAGAAAGATTGTTTATTGGATGACTAGCAATAAAAAAATTCAATACGTTTCTGGGGCACAGGGTTTGAGTCAAATAGAACTTCATCAATGATTGGACTCAAAAGATGGAATAAAAAAATATTTATCTTAGATTAGTTATCCTGGGAGAAAGATGACTATCCAGATGGTGCCTGGTCTGGGAAGAAGCCTCATGACATCAACCCTTTCAAAGCCAACCCGGGTGGAAGGAAAGGAAACTGCTTTATTCCTGCATCAGCACAGTCTGTGCCGATGGGGGAATCCCTCTCACAGCGCAAGCCTTTCTTGCGGGCAGAACACAAAGATCACTGCTGGTGGCTATAGCCACCGGCAATGATCACATGAAAAAAACACGTTGGTTGTACTGAAGTTGTTCAATGGATCTATGGGCCTGCCTGCCTGCCTGCCCATAGATAAATAGATAGAATCTCGGCTAGTCCCTGTTGCAATGGCCAAGATTTGATCCATCTATGGTGGGCTTTACACTGACAGTCATCCAATAAATTTTTTTTCTGGCTGTGTTACCACTGGTGTGGTGCCTTACTGTTTTTGTATATCTGGATTCTTCTCAATACCCCTGCCTGTAGGGGCCCTTTGCTACCCAAGAACAGCCTTGCCAAAGCAATATTGCTTATTAATCAAAAAAAAGATAGCCGCTCACAGGTTTTGGCATTGTGATGGGAGATCTAGTACCTCTTATGCATGTATTTAGGGCAACCAAATATGGGGTTAGAGTTAGCATTTTTTTGGGCACAAGTACAGAATAGTTTGAAGAAGCTTCCCTTACCAACGCTTTTCTCAGCCTTTTTACCCCAGGGGAACCCTTTAAATAATTTTTAAGTCTCAGGGAACCCCTGCTAAAATCAATTAATCATGGAAAGAATACCCCTTACGTTGGTGGTTAGTAGGAAGAATAGCCCCCTTACAGAGGTGGTCACAATGTCATTCTAACTGCTACAAAGATCACTCTGCAAAGTGACTCTGAAGATGGAACTATCCAGGCACCATCAAGATGGAAGGTCAATCAGCCAAAATTCAAGGAGCCCTTAGCAACCTCTGAAGAAGCCCTAGGGTTCCATGGGACCCTGGTTGAGAATGGCTGCCTTACCCTCAGAAGTCAGTAAAACCCATTGCTTCCATAAAGACCACCTTAAATTTTGCCTTTCCCTTTGACTCCAATGAATGAATGGATTTCACTGACATTTCTGTGAAATGTCCTTACAGTGAAGGGAAAACTCCCTGTATACTATATGTGATTACTGACAAAGTGGTCAAAATCCCATCAAACATGCAGAAGGTGCTAAGAACTTGATAAATTAAAAATTAAAAAGATTTTCTCTCCCGTCAAAATGAATCCTTACAATTGTTCTGCCTGGGGTACCTCGGTAAAGTGACACAAGGCATTTTTGCACACTACAAAAACTTTGGCAAACGCCAGGACCACAAAACTTAGATAGCATATCTAGATACCCAATGAGGACTGGGAACCACTGCTGCCTGAGTCTTGTGTTGGGGACAGAGGTATTCTCTGCAGGAATGCTGACTTAGCATAAATTTAAGCAACTTTTCAAATGTGAGCTCAAACCTGGGATTACCTTCCTTCAATTAACAAAGCCAAAACTATTTTTTTAATCTAAAAAATGAAACTTTATCACTTTCCCTGTCTCGGAGAAGGTGTAAACAGAACCATTTCAACCTTTTTGATCTCTTTAGCCCAGGACAGACAGCACTGGTCATTATATGAAATGGCCATGGAAGAATAAAAAGGTATGGAGACCTCAAGCAATGCTCCATTTTAGAGAGACTGATTTTAATGTGTTCAGTCGGGAAGAATCTAATTAATTAAATTTATCAAAAAGTATTTTACAAAAAAAAAAAGGAGGAGTTACACTTTTCATTTTAAGAAATTAATGACTCCTCTGTTTCATCCTGAAAAGTTTTTCTGCTGTATCCACATACATTTGAAGACATTCAATATCCTGCAAAAAAAAATGAAAAAATATATAAACCTTTGTTAACATCAACATCATCATATTTTTCACTTGTGCACCAGAAACAGAGGTGGACATGAAACATGAAATAGAAGAGGCTTCAGAATAGGTTGTGAAAACAAAAGCTTCATGGCAATAGAGACATTTCCCTATGTATACATAGTTTATTCATTCTGCTCCTATGGAAAAATACATTTATTCTTAGTAAGCCTTTTAGAGTATAGCCTATAATGACTGACACCATACTATTACAGGTTTTAAGAATAGTCCAATATAATGTCAACACTTTCAGTTTCTGTACTGCAACCAGTACATTCACATACATACATATGTATATATATATTCTCTGCAGCTCTTCATCATGGTCCCTAGTTTACTGGCACTGGTCCTTTAAGGCTGAATTCCAGGCATCCCTGGAATTGCACAGTTACATTACACAATGTAATTATGCATATGCCATACATGTGGGATCCCTAAGGTAGCTGGAAATCACTGTAGTAGTCACAGCTACTACAGTAATCATCACTATCTTCTTGGGCCTGTGCCTAGCAGCTGCCTTGCTGAATAGTGAGAACAGGGGTCCTCTCGCTCAGCACGGGCACCATTCACAGAATGGGTTGAATTTTTTTAAATGAATACAAGGCATTCTCTGATTGGGCAGGTTGGAAATCATGACATTAGCTTACCTCTCCACCTCGTCCAATCAGAAAATGCCTTGCATTTATTTAGAAAAATGTAAAACCTTTTGTGAACAGTGTCCATGTTAAATGAGTGACTCCTTGTGTTTGCTATGCAGCAGGGTAGCCACTATTATTATTATTACAGGTACTTATATAGCGCTGTTAATTTACACAGTGCTTACATATATATATTGTACATTCACATCAGTCTCTAGCCCTCAAGGGGCGTACAATCTAAGGTCCTTAACACACATTCATACAAACATATACTAGGGCCAATTTAGACAGGTTCCAATTAAACTGGAGTACCAGAAGGAAACCCACGCAGGTACAGGGAGAACATGCAAACTCCAGGCAGGTGGTGCCGTGGCTGGGATTTAAACCAACGACCCTAGTACTGCCAGGCAGAAGTGCTAACCATTTAGCCACTGTTCTGGGTCCCAGAAGATCACTGCAATCACTGTAGTAGCAGTGACTACTACAGCGATTTACAGCTTCCACAGGGATCCCACATGTATGGCGTATGTATACTTACCAGGACCAGTGTAAATATGCTATAAATTATATACTGGACGTTCAGTTGCAACCACCTTGTGTCAAAGGATGTTTTCTAATTTTTCACACACATAAGGATCTGCATTTTTTTTTGCTACAAAATTACCTAAACCCCAACCAATTATGTATTTTATGAAAGCAGAGGCCCTGTAGAATAAAATGGGGGTAGCTGCGATTTTTCATGTCACATAATATTTGCACAACTTTTATCAAATGCATATTTTCAGTGAAAAATACACTGAAATACATTTTAATGCATACAAGCACAAGATAATACCCAATTTTTGGTAAAATATTGAGATTGAGTAAACAGATACCAAACACGTCAAGTTTTAAAATTGCGCGTGCCCATGAACTGGCAAAAAATGATAGTGTATATAGGTAATGCCTTAAAAGCCTGTCAGTTTAAAGTTAGTCCTTGAATAATGGACCTAGAAATATTCTCTCACTTTGACATTCATGGCAATACTTCACATGTACAAAGCAATCACAATTTACATACCTGTGCACACCCCACAAATGCATTTCCATTTGTGTGTGCAGGGTGACATGATTGCTTTTTTTTCTCACTAACTTTATTGCAATCACAAGGGGTCTAACAAGCCCCGTATGTTATAGAATTTGCAGGGAGAGGTTCTCTTCATGGAGAAATCAGGGTTCTATTAGATTCCTAACGTCTCCCCTGCAGCAGGTCAAGTATAGGACTATGCTTGATTTGCTGTGCAAATGGCATTTCAGACAGGATTTTGAAATATTCAGATTTGAAAAATATTGGGGGGGGGGGGGGGGCACACATTTGCAGTAGGGTAAAAATGATGGGGCAGCTCCACAGCCACACGGCTTACTTTTACATGGAAAAAATGATACTTCTGCTTCCGGCATCTTGTTTTCACCACTTAAACTCTATGCCGTTTATGTATGACCTCTGGACGGCAAGTGGTTTTTTTCAGTATTTAATTATCTTACCTCCTGAATAAATTTTTGCTCTTCCATTTTCAGTAGAGCTATTTCCACTGACTCTTTAACAGAATGTTCCTCAGAGATCTGTAAAAATGGAATGCAGCGCTGGTACAGGTGGAATTTATAATGCTTGAGTCGGTGATACACTTCAGTACGACGGCCGCATGTATTGCCGACCACCAAATACTGGAACCAAACAGAGGAGAGTTATGTTACAGTGTAAATACAATAAGTTCATGCCAAAGGTGTAAGAGGAGAATTATAAAGCTGCAGTCACTATATTCTCTGTGCAGTGTGCAAAACAATCATGTGAGTGACAGTACTTTAACCACCTCCCGCCTGCCATATAGTAATATGATGGGCGCAAGGTGGTTCTCTCGTTCTGGGAGGACATCATATGACGTCCTCCCATTCTCACTGCACATGCGCGGCTCAGGGAGCGCGCAGCGCGGTGATCGGCAGTGAGCTGTGTCCCTTGGACACAGCGGATCACCGATCACGGAAAGAGCCGAAGATGTCGGCTCGGTCATGTGATCAGCTGTGTCCAATCACAGCTGATCACATGTAAACAGGGAAATGCCGGTTATCGGCAATTCTCTCCTCTCGAGCTGTCACGCTGACAGAGGAGAGGAGAGGAGAGCCGGTAATCAGCTTTCCGCGGAGGGGACATGTACACTGATCATCAGGGCACTGATGATCAGTGTGCCCTGATGATCAGTATGGCCTCAGCAGTGCCACCTGTTAGTGTCCATCAGTGCCTTATGTCAGTGCTCATCAGTGCCTCGTGCCAGTGCCCATCAGTGCCACATATCAGTGCCTACCAGTGCACATCAATGCCACATAGTGCCCATCTGAGCTTCCTTTCAGTGTCACCCATCAGTGCCAGTCAATGCCACCTATCAATGCCAATCAGTGCCACCTGCCAGTGCCAGTCAGTGCCGCCTAACAGTGCCAGTCAGTACCGCCTAACAGTGCCATATATCAGTGCTGCCTTTTCAGTGCCCATCAGTGATGCCTGTCAATGCCTCCTCATCAACGCCCATCAGTGCCACCTATCAGTGTCCATTAGTGCAGCCTATCAGTGCCCATCAGTGCAGCCTCATTAGCGCACATCAGTGAAGGAGAAAAATCACTTATTTACAAAATTTTATAACAAAAACTAGGAAAAAACATTTTTTTTCTTCAAAATTTTCAGTGGTTTTTGATTTAAGAAAAAATAATAAATAAAAAACCCAGAGGTGATTAAATACCACCAAAATAAAGCTGTCACAAAAAAAATGATAACAATTTCATATGGGTACAGTGTTGTTTGACCACGCAATTGTCATTCAAAGTGCGACAGCACTGAAAGCTGGAAATTGGCCTGGACAGGAAGGGGGTATAAGGTGTACCTAATAAAGAGGCCAGTGAGTGTATGTTCCAATATGGCACTCTGTTAGAGTTAGGGACTTCATGATGAGGCAGTGTGGCTATCACGTGTAGCTGCATATGTATGCATTTTGTGCTTTGAACACAAATTATAATTATTGGAACAGTGCATAAGTGTTGGGAATTTTTAGTGACTTTGTTCATGGACACAGTACGTTAAAAAGTTAGCAATAAAATAATATGCAGCCTCCCTGGTGGTTAATTGCTCCCTGGTGGCTAGTGGCGTCAGCTGGGTGAGTCCCCTAACATGTCTCGAGCAGACACGCTCATTATCAAAGGGGGAACCAGGCTCCTTTTCCGTTGATGGCACACCTGATGACATGCATACAACGCTCAGTTTGTATGTTCTTGTGGTAAGCGCATAAGTTTATTGGAATCTCCAGGATTTGTGCGTTGATTTTACGCTGAAGTGAACACTTTTTTATATTCTACAAACCTACACGGTTATATCCACCTTACTTGGAACTTGGATAGGCTTTCTATTAATATTATTGTGTTTCAACAGTGATATCTCTATCAGAGTTTCTCAAAGACATTTATGTAGCGCTGCATACCTTGTTATTTGTTTAGTCTAAAGGTATTGAGGTTTGCCCTGTATGCTAGCCGCTGTAGTTTTTTGTTTTAGTTTTGTTTTGCGCTCACTTACCTCATTATTATTTGCAATAAAATAATATGGGCAGTTGCAATTTCTGTTTTAAGGCCTAAGTGCAGTCCAAAAAAATCCACAAGAAATCAGCACATAACTTACAGTCAGTAGGATGTGTCCCTTGTGTTGATGCCTCTTCTCTGAGTTGAAATCCTCCTGTCTATGTTGACCCCCCACCTCGGTTGCCATAATTTTCCGGTGTATTATAGCTTCTATGAATAGAAAGCGGGTGGATGATTGAAAAGTCCAACCTCTAATCATATATCCTGTTTCATTCCAAGAAGCTGTAGTATGGCTTCTATGAATAGAGGGGCTAGGTGGAAAGGGTGGGCATAGTCAGGCTTTCTTGATGAGAGCCTGTGACAGCCCCTTAACCCCCGTTGCACCTGAAGATTACGGAGGTAGGTTTTGAGGGGGGGGGGGGGGGGGGGGGAGCACATGGACAAAAGAGGATACTATCAGAAGAGGCATCAGCACAAGGGATACACCCTACTGACTGTAAGTTATGTCCCTAATTTTTATTTTATTTTGGCTGCTCTTAGGCTTTAAAAGCACGGGTTCACTTTAGGCACGGGACTCCAATCCACTACCGGGTACATAGGCTCTATTTTTTCAGGCCTTCAGCAAATAGCACTTTGCATGCCATGATTAAAATTACTAGGAAAGAAAAGTCAGCGGTATTTCAGATATAACATCACCCTCCTTACCTGTTTATCTTCAGGAAGAAAATTATCATATTCTAAAGTTTCATCATCATAGGCCTGTCCAGAAAGGGTCACCACGTATTTGCAGTACCGGAACAATTCACAGGCATCGCAGGATTGTTCTTCAGCCTTTATCACCCTTAAGTGAAGTTTGGGGTAAGAATTTACCCTCTCCTGCAACAGTAATAATTCATATTCAGTAAAACTTTCATAAAGTGTATGTAAAGGCATTTTGTAAAATTTAGGACACAGTGAGGAAGGGTTGGACCCTCTGTTGCGTTTTTATTGCGGTCTGTGTCTCCACTAGAGAGATTCATCTTTTCTATTTGTCCTGTTGACCATTGTAATGGGAAATCCGAAGTTTTAGTGATATCACTAGATCAAGAGGTGGGGGTAAATAATCCAACTGGGACAACTGTTCTGGTGACAACTAGATCAAGTGGACGTCACCCTCATTTTCAGCCGATTTCCTTTCTTTCCTTTTATGCCTATAGTATCCACTTGCCAACCACATACCTGGTACCTCACTGGACCTCAAGTGGCTGTACCAGGATGATGCCTGCGGTACCACTTTTTAGAGCCGACGGTCAGTTCTCTTGTAATAGCAATCAGAGCGGATAACTTGCCGCCCGATTGCTATTATAAGCACTGGGAGGGGAAGCCTCCTGCCGCCTTCTGCGACTTTAATGGGGTCTCCCGACCCACCGGGAGGGGAGTCCCGATCGACCAGCTGAGGCTTTTGGATCGGATTTGTTTAGCTCTTTGATATAGTAACCCGGAAGCGATGATCTTACATCACTTCCAGTTTACTCAGCAATAAACAATGCCATTTAAAAAAAAAACAAACAAAAGTGTTTGATCACACCGATCGTGATGTAATTAAATGTTTTTAAGGGCAGGGATTTGGCGTCTTATTGAACCCAGATCTCTCTATAAAAAGAGTACCTGTCAGGTGCCTATTGCGGTCATAAAGAATGTTTACATTTCTTGTGACAGAAATAAAAGTGATCAAAAATGTTTTTTTCAAGTAGCTGAGTAAAAATAAAAAAAATAAATAATTAAAAAAAAAAAAATTAAAGTGCCCCCATCCCTCTGTGCTTGCACGCAAAGGCAAATGCATGCGTCGGTCTTGCACACAAGTGATGGGAAATCTCCCCAGCAAGACAGAAGAAGAATAACCAAATGGAGGGTTTAACACTTCCCTATTCCATGCAAAAAATTAATGGTTCCATCTGCCGAGGATGGAGACACCCAGTACATGGCCCCATTCATCTACACTATATTGGCAAAAGTTAGGACGCCTGCCTTTACACGCACATGAAGTTCAACCACTTGCCCTCCAGAGGATTCCCCCCCCCCCCCCCCTCCTTCCTGACCAGGCCATTTTTTTGTGATACAGTACTGCATTACTTTAACTGATAACTGTGCGCTCATGCAACGATGCAGTCAAATGAAATTTATGTCCTTGGAACATTTGATAGCATGGACATTTCATGGATGGACTTATTGCACAGGTGGCAAAAGACTGACAACTTTGAGAAAAAAAATATATTTTTGATTTTTTTGCTATTAAATATGTCCAGTAAAAAAATAAAAAAAAATCTAATTTCGTCATAAATTTAGGGCAAAATGTATTCTGCTACATGTCTTTGCTAAAACAATCCCAATACATGTAAATTAATTGGTTCAAATGAAAGTTACAGCGTCTACAAATGGCGATATATATATATATATATATATATATATATATATATATATATATATATATATATATATAGGAATATTTCATTTTTTTTTTTATACTAGTAATGGTGGCGATCAGCAACTTATAACAGGACTGTGGCGGGCATTCTGACACTGGGGGGAACTGACTGTCATTGACATCCCCAGTGACGCTAATACTGTGATCAGTGCTAATAAAAAGCACTTACAATGTACTAATGACACTGGGCAGGAAGGGGATAACATCTGGGGCAATAAAAGGTCAACTGTGTGCCGTTTCACTGTGTGCTTTACACTGTAAGCACACTGCTTTTTATGTAAGAAATGTGCAGGAGCTGCCAGGGAGAGATCTGTATTGTTTGAGGTCTGGGATCTGTGCAGGAAAGTCAAGTTCCTCCACCCCAAACTCGCTCATCCATGTCTTTATGGACCTTGCTTTGTGCACTGGTGCGCAGTCATGTTGGAACAGGAAGGGGCCATCCCCAAACTGTTCCCACAAAGTTGGGAGAATGAAATTGTCTAAAATGTCTTGGTATGCTGACGCCGTAAGAGTTCACTTTACTGGAACTAAGGGGCCAAGTCCAACCCCTGAAAAACAACCCTACACCATAATCCCTCCTCCATCAAACTTTACACTTGGCACAATGCAGACAGGCAAGTACCGTTCTCCTGGCAACTGCCAAACCCAGAAACCCAGACACGTCCATTGGATTGCCAGACAGAGAAGTGTGATTTGTCACTCCAGAGAACACGTCTCCACTGCTTTAGAGTCCAGTGGCGGCGTGCTTTACACCACTGAATCCGACACTTTGCATTGCACTTGGTGATGTAAGGCTTGGATGCAGCTGCTCGGCCATGGAAACCCATTACATGAAGCTTTCTACGCACTGTTGTGCTAATCTGAAGGCCACATGAAGTTTGGAGGTCTTTAGCTATTGACTTTGCAGACAGTTGGCGACTTCTGCGCAATGTGCACTTCAGCATGCGCTGACCCCACTCTGTCATTTTACATGGCCTACCACTTGGTGGCTGAGTTGCTGTTGTTTCCAGTCGCTTCCACCTTGTTATAATACCACTAACAGTTGACCGTGGAATATTTTGTACCAAGGAATGTCAAGGGTGGACCTTGAATTCACTGAGCTCCTGAGAGCGACCCATTCTTTCACAAATGTTTGTAGAAGCGGTCTGCATGCCTAGGTACTTGATTTTATACACCTGTGGCCATGGAGATAATTGGAACACCTGAATCCAATGATTTGGAGGGGTGTCCCAATACTTTTGCCAATATAGTATACTGTACTATATCTGGAACATTACTGTAGTTGTGCAGCTGCTGTAGTGGGGATCAATAAGACCTGGTTCAAACTAGTGCAATTTCAGATGTTGAGTCACACAGAATTGCGTTACAAGAGAAATCACATTATTTGTAATGATGCCCGTATCATTAATGCGACTCCACGCGGTGCGATTTTTGGAAGAGGTTCCTGTATTACTGCAAATCAAGTCAAAATCGCATCACAGTAGTGCGTACCAAACCATAGCTCAACAAAAGGATGTAAAATATTAGCTCGGCTCTGGGCAGGCAATGGCTTTAGAGGCCTAGGGTATGACAGCCCAGTAGTATTTAAAAGCATAACATATTGGAGCGCAGGGGAAGGGATGTTTGGGGGGTACATTTTGTTAAAATTCCAGGTTTGTCATCCCCTTCCCTCCCCTGTGGATCCTCCAAGATGTAGATTCTGCTATTTTTTATACTTACCTTTTCCAAGGTCTTCAGACCAGTCATGTGATACTGCAGGATCCTCTTAATCTTCTCCAGGCTGGGCTGTTGCAATGATGTTTAACACCACTCTCTGCACCATTACACTGTGAATGCAAGATACTGTGGTGATGCCCCCTCAGGGGACAGCTCCAGATTGAAAAGAACTTTTGCAACCTGCGCTGCTTTATTTTTTTCTGTAACAGTGCATTAGTTGGAGCATGTTTTTTTTGTCTATAGCGAACCTAAAACTGGCAGGAAACAATGATCAACAGTGGCAGTCCCAATGAGCCTTTATAACATGTGAAGGCCAAGACCAATCAAGGCCTTTTTAGGAGATTCGTTCTAACTTCCTGTTGGACAGCTGTCATCAGAACCGCAGGTAGAGGAAAATGTGCTACTAGGGATAACTGTTCAGGTCAAAAGTATGAAATTGCCAGAACAGGAAGTGAGGGGGAAGCCTCCTGAACTGGGAAAAAGACAACAACATGGCCAAGGTCCTTTAGTCTTACCAATTAAGATATACAGTGGGGAAAATAATTATCTGATCTCCTGCAGATTTTGTAAGTTTGCTTATGTACACTGCTGCTCTGAAATGTGAATTTAGGAGGTTTTGGTGTTTTTCTTCCAAAGCCCCTGAACTCAACTCGATAAAACCCTATGCGTCCATGCACACATAGGCTTTTACCAGAGTTTAGGAGCAGTTAAACGTTCCTCTACTAAACGCAGAATAATCGCGTTCAGGAAAGGAACGTTTTGGCCAGAAAACCCTAAATGTGGCAAAAACGCATGTAAACGCGGCTAAACTCATCTAAATGCTAGCCGCGTTTAGTGCTTGGGCATTTATCCATGTCAATGAAAAATACGGAGGCCAATCCAAGCGCTAAATACAGTACTCACCTAGTCGTTAAAGTCTCCTGGCAGCAGAAAAACGATCAAACACAGCAAAAACAGGGGTAAACACACGGTACCACGTTTACCACCGTTTTTGCCACATTGAGTGTTTTTCTGCTTCCAGGAGAGTTTAACGACTAGGTGAGTTCATGTGTACATGAAGCCTTACAAAAAAATTAAGGGTCTAGAATTTTTACCCAAAGGTGCATTTTAAAATGATAGAGACAGAATATCAACCAAAAATCCAGAAAAAACGTGATACAAATGTTATAAATTGAGTTGCAGTTCAGTAAGTAAAATAAGTACTTGATCCCCTACCAACCATAGACTGGCTATATGTTCATGTGATACACAGATCAGTCCTGTCAATTTAAGAAGGTGCTCCTAATGACAACTTATGTGTATAAAAGACACCTGTCCACAGAATCTCTTTCTTGGGCACCACCATGGGCAAGACCAAAGAGCTATCAAAGGATGTCAGGGACAAGATTGTAGACCTGCACAAAGCTGGAATGGGCTACAAGACCATCAGCAAGGAGCTTGGTGAGAAGGAGACAACTGCTGGAGCGATTATTCGCAAATGGAAGAAATACAAAAAAAAAAATCAATCGCCCTCGGTCTGGAGCTCCATGCAAAATTTCAGCTCATGGGATAAGGATGATCATAAGAAAAGTGAGGGATCATCCCAGAACTGCACAGGAGGAGCTTGTGAATGATCTCAAGGCAGTTGGGACCACAGTCACCAAACAAACCATTGGTAACACAATACGCCGCCATGGATTGAAATCCTGAGCACCCGCAAGGTCCCCCTCCTCAAGAAGGCAAATGTACAGGCCCGTATGAAGTTTGCCAATGAACATCTAAATGATTCAGAGAAGAATTGGAGAAAGTGCTGTGGTCAGATGAGGAAATTGAGCTCTTTGAGATTAACTCGACTCGCCGTATTTGGAGGAAGAAAAATGCTGACAATGCCCTAAGAACACCATCCCTACAGTCATGCACAGAGGTGGAAACATTATGCTTTGGGTCTGTCTCTCTGCTAAAGGTACAGGCCGACTTTGCCGCATTGAAGGGCCAATGGATGGGGCCATGTATTGTAAAATCTTGGATGAGAACCCTCTTCCCACCAGAACACGGATCGTGCATGGGTCTTCCAGCATGACAATGACCCTAAACATACCACCAAGGCAACAAAGGAGTAGCTCAAGAAGACGCACATTAAAGGTCATGGAGTGGCCTAGCCAATCCTATAGAAAATTTATGGAGGGAGCTGAAAGTTGCCCAGCGATAGCCAAGTAACCTTACAGATTTAGAGAAGATCTGTAAAGAAGAGTGGACCGAAATCCCTCCTGAGATGTGTGCAAACCTGGTAACCAACTACAAGAAACGTCTTACCTCTGTGCTTGCCAACACAAGTTTTTCCACCAAGTGCTAAGTTATGTTTTGCTTGGAGATCAAATACTTATTTTACTCACTGAACTGCAACTCAAATTTATAACATTTGTATCATGTGTTTTTTTTCTGGATTTTTGGTTGATATTCTGTCTCTATCATTTAAAATACACATGATAAAAATCTTAGACCTTTCATTTCTTTGTGAGTGGGCAAATTTACAAAATTTGAAGGGGACCAAATAATTATTTTCCCCACTGTACGTTTCATCTGGAATATTAGTTCAAAAAGTTACCTTGTACCGGGGTTTCCAACGACAGCTTGAGGTGAGTTTATCAAGACGAGGGGATAGAACACGATCATCCAAATAATTTAGAGACTTCAGCATGTCTTTTGCATACCTTTTCTCTCTTTTTCCATCTACACCACGAAAGAACACAAATGCAACATATGGTTAAAGCATGGCTATCACATTTTGTTCTGCCAAAACGATTGTACCATTCTGCTTCAGTTTTCAATTTATCATTGGAAAAAAAATATATGAAAGTTTTTTTGATCTACAAAAAGCATGTAGGTTTGTCTTCTTGAGCAGATGAAAATTGTTCGATATGCCTTGAAAGCACTCAGAGCTACATAAATAAGGAAAATCATAAAAAAAAAAAAAAAAAAAATTCAGGTTTAGGTACTATAGGTTGCATTGCAATAATACAAAATTCTGCTATGGAAGTAAAATATCATCTGACTTACCATACAAGGTTTCTAGAAATGTGTGATCAGCGATATTAATTAGGAAAGCCTTGATCACTTTCTGAGATGTGTATAAAGGTCATTACATGCAACTGAAAAACAGTAATAATAACATGGGATATAATACAAATATTTCCATTTAAAGCAATTCTTTGCTATTTAGAAAAATAAAACCTAAGACCAGCCTGCAAGCAAAATATTTAATACATATCTGTCATGCCGCCCATGCCATCAAACTCCGTTGTTATAATCTTGCTGAAAAACCTTTTGAAATCGACACTTCTGGGAGTGTCAGGTGCCTGAGTTTCCATTGACCTCTGTGGTTTAGTGCTGGCCATACATCATTAAGGGCACAGTAATGATGGAGAAGCCAGCAGAAGGAACCACAGAGTGCAGTTCTGTTCTGTGCATTCCCGCTCGCGATTCAAACAGCATGTTTCACATAGAAACTCATGTCACACAAAGGGCAGCTCATTCTCCAGAATGGGCTGTCCTATGTGTGATTGTTGCTCCAAAGGGGACCTCAGGAACCAAATTTTGGCCCTGAACCAAGAACGGTTTTGCACTCTGATTTGGTTGCCCGACAATCACGGCAAAATCATGCCACGTGTTTTGCGATTTGGAATTGCAGGCAGGCAGCTAATCTTCCAGTGATTCCAAATCACCTACCTGTGCATGGGGCCTGAAAGAGTCTTCAGCAACATTAACTCCTATAGTCGGAAAAAAAAAGATAAAAAAAAAATATGCAGTACATCTCTGCAATATATGTATATTCCCATGTTTTAAGCCCCATTCAGATTGATGCGATTCTGCCCACAATCCTAAATCACAGCAAATCGCACAGCACATGTTTGGGTGCAATTCAGGATGGCAGACAGCGTGATTTTTCTCTGACTGTCGCACAAGAATTGGGGCACAATGCGAGTGCTAAATAGTCACTGAGCTTCTTTGGAGAAGCAATTGCGCATAGGGCAGCTCATTCATGTGAATAGGCTTCTCTATGCGCAACACATGTTTCTGCGTGAAAATCCTGCTGTTTAAATTATGACCGTGAACACAAGTTCCCGCTATGCATAGTGTGAACAGGGCCTTACCCTTCAAAAAAAGTACCAAAAAATACCCCTTGATTTACAACACATGCACTCAGTTCCTAATCTTTTTTTTGTAGGCTGTACATGTTTGTGGACTGTACCATTTCAGGCATACACAGGCTGCTAAACTACTCAACCACTATCTGTTCTGTGGTCCCAAACAAGGACTGGGAGAACACAGGACAGCTGTGAATTTATTAATAGGCATATGACATTTGTTTCATTACAAATCAAAATTTGTCAACATTTTCGCTATTTAGATGCATCTGAATTTCTGAATAACAATAGTGATGAATTTCAACTAATCTGAAATAAATTATAATGGAACAAATTATCTGAATTAAAAAATTAATTTGATTCGGAAATGGAAACACATTGCAATAAATACTGTAAGGTATACAAGTGAAATACTTACTTAGGCTGCTTTATAAAATAGAAAAGAATAGAATAAAACATAAAAGAATCAAAACAGAACAGAATAGAAAAGCACAGAACATAAAATAAGGGAATAGAATACAACAGAATAGAAAAGAACAAAACAGAATAGAAAAGAATAGAATAAAACAAAATAGAATAGAACATAAAATAATAGAATAAGAGTAGAATAAAAAAGAATAGAATAGAATAACATAGAATAGAAAAGAAAGGAATAGAACAATAGAACAGACAAGAAAATAATAAAACAGAATAAAATAGAAAAGTATAAAAAAAAAAAACAGAATATTAGAATAGAACAGAATATAAAATAAAGGAATATAAAAGAATAAATAAAAAAAAAAAAAAATAATAGATTAGAATGGAAATAAAACATAAAATACAAAATAAAGGAATATATTAAAATAAAACAGAACATACTATAATAGAAAATAAAAAAAATGTAAAATTCTGAATTCAAACAAATTTGAAAATAACAAATAAACGAAATGAATTCCGAAAACAAGTCATTCTAACAACAAATATAATGAAACCAAATTATTACCTTAACGAACAAATCTGAAACAAATTTTTCTGTCATGCAAATCTCTACTTATCAAATATAGCAAAAAGGCTTCAATGATTTAATTAAGACACCAAAATGAAGCAAAAAAGAAAAGTTAATTGTTATTGTTAACATACATTTTAGGAACAGTGGAGTATAGCAGCATGACAGGTAAGTATTTATTCTTTGCAGGCCAACATATTGTTTATGGACACTAGCTAACCATAGCTATTCTGTGCCCGTATCTAACAACCCCCCCGGATTGCATCAGAACACAGTGCTCTAAATGCACATTGTACACCTGATTCCGAACTTTCAGTGCAAGCTTTGCTGCAGCTCTCAAAAAGAAGTGCAAACAACCCGATTCTAGGATTGCTTATAAGTGACTAACATGGCTTGAGTTCTGCTTGAACTAGTCTGATCAGATCATTCCTGGACTGTGCCAGAGAGTACCATGTGACCATGTGTCAAGAGTACCATGTGACCATGTGTCAGAGTACCATGTGATCATGTACGACAGGAGAAAACAAATTCTCTTGCGCTCTATGACCCAGCCTCGGGTAGATGGATGCAGCCCGGACTTGGAAGTTTCTACCACCAGTGCATATGGGGTTGTGCAGCTTCAAACAAGGCTGGGGAAGCCTGACCAATACTGAAAAGCGAAAACAAACAAAAAGCGCACGAACCTTGCGCATTACCTCAGTAAGCCAAAATTTATTGATAACAGAATAATACTCACAAACACTGAAGTATATCATGCAAGTCCTCAAAGGGACTAAGGATGAAAGAAGCCTGCGCGAGTCCCATCAGAGGATTGGACACTCAGGGAAAATCTGACGCGTTTCAAAGGACGAACCTTCTTCATCAGAGCTTAACTGAACAATGAGTGATCACTCCTATATATATATACTCTAGAACTAAAATTAGGACCACCCTGTCGGGATGGGCCATCTCCAATTGGGAGGAGGGACTAGAATGTCAACAATAAGTCTCAGTAGAACATGCTGATAGTAACACAGACATACTAGTAAATTTCAAAGCTTGATAAAAAACAACAATCAAAATTTTGCATATAACCAATGACCAGATAATAAAAAATCTTAAGACAATTAAACAAACATGCCCAGATGTAAACAAAACCGATATAGATTATTAAAAAATGTAGATATATATGTACGTATAGACTCCATATTTTCCTATAGAAACATGGATTAGTGTTTCATGATTAAATATATAGAGAGAATATATGTGAAATAAAATCATGATGCTAGTTGATAGAATAATAATAAAAAATTTTTTTAGTTCTAGAGTATATATAGGAGTGATCACTCATTGTTCAGTTAAGCTCTGATGAAGAAGGTTCGTCCTTCGAAACGCGTCAGAGCTACCTGAGTGTCCACTCCTCTGATGGGACTCGCGCAGGCTTCTTTCATCCTTAGTCCCTTTGAGGATTTACATGCATGATATACTTCAGTGTTTGTTTTTGCTTTCCATGTGATCATGTGTAAGAGAGTACCATGTGACCATGTGCCAGAGAGGACCATGTGCCAGAGAGTACAATGTGACCATGTGTCAGAGAGTACCATGTGACCATGTGTCAGAGAGTACCATGTGACCATGTGTCAGAGTACCATGTGACCATGTGTCAGAGAGTACCATGTGACCCCCACACGTAGTTCCCATTATAGTGGCCGCAAGATCCTAACTGACTGCCATAAGACCACACACAATTCATCATCCAATGGTGGGACATACACTGAGGAATTCTGTGCCTCAAGAACAAATCCTGATATCTCAATGGTCGGTTTCCATCTTCATCCTCCTCATCTTCTTCCTCATCTTGTTCAATGAAGTCTTCCATCTCCTGACTGTCCTCATCTTCACCCATTGTTTCTGGAGTGAGGGGAATGTACTCACTGCTGGAACTTGCCTACAGAATAAACCAGAAATAAAGAAGAAAGGTTGACTTTTTCAAGTGGTCACTTACAGCTGAGCTTGGGGCAGATTAAAAAATAAAATTCATGTAGGTATGTGTGCATTAAAATATAATGTATTTGTATTAAATGTGTTTTCTTAAAAGCAGCTAGCATAAGTACCTGAATTTGACTTGACATCAGCCCATTCCATTCCCCAGTAAAGCCCCTTTCACACTGGGTGAACTCCGCTTGCTGAGTGGGGGATCTGTCCATTGATTCCCTGCTGAGCAGGTGGATAAGAGGTCCGTGTCCACTCTGCTTAGGCCTCATGTACATATGAACTCCCCTTCACATTAAACTCTCCTGGCAGCAGAAAAATGCTAAACGTGGCAAAGATGCATGTACACGCGATACCGCGTTTAGTGATTGGAGGTTTATTCATTTGATTGGCCAGAGTATTTTCCGTTGACATTTAGCGTTTTTTGGCCAAAATGTTCCTCTCCTGAATGCAGTTTTTCTGCATTCAGGAGACTTTAACTGTCCATAAACTCTGCTGCTCCTAAACTCTGGTACAAGCCTATCTATACATGGACACATAGGGGTTGATTGACTAAAGGCAATTAGACTGTGCACTCTACTAAGTTCTGGAGCAACTGCACTTACAAATGACGTAAAGCTTCTCTTTGCCAAGAACACCCAATCATGTGGAAATCACTAGGAAAACCCCCCCCCCCAAAAAAAAAACAGCATTTGTGCTTGAACATGATTGGATGATGGAAGTCGGCAGTGCTTCTGCTCATTTACTAAGCTCTGGAGCAACTGCACTTTGTAAAGTGCACAGTCTAGTTGCCTTTAGTAAATCAACCCCATAGACTTTTACTGAGTTGCATTCATGAGCTTTGGCAAAAAAAAACACCAAAAGGTTCCTAAACTCGCGTTTTAAGAGCAGCAGTGTACATGAGGCCTTATGCAGAGCAGACTCGGACACAGCCCACTCTGCTCTATGGGCAGACGAATGTAAAAGGACCATCTATCTGTTTACACCCAACTGCACTCCGATTTGATCGGCCCAGAAGGAGGAGAACGGATCCTTTACAGTTTGTTTTCGGCAGAACGGATCGAATTGGAGGTAAGCAGTAGGTGGGTGTAAACGGACACAAGCCCATTTACACCGGCTGCTCCATACAGCAGAATGGAGGGAATGATCAGGTCCACTTTCCTCCAGAGCTTGGTAAATTCATTGAAGCTTTACATTGCATGGAGTACCCAATCACATGCGAGGAAAATTAAAAAAAAAAGCATTTTTGCTTGCCCATGATTGAATGATGAAAGTCAGCAGAGCTTCCCTCTTTTACTAAGCTCTGGAACAAATGCCCCTGCAGGGTATAACTGCACTTTCAAAGTGCACAGTCCAATTGCCTTTAGTAAATCAACCCCATAGGCTTTTATTGAGTTGCATTCATGAGCTTTGGCAAAAAAAAAAACCGCCAAAAGTTCCTAAACTCACGTTTTAAGAGCAGCAGTGTACATGAGGCCTTATGCAGAGCAGACTCGGACACAGCCCACTCTGCTCTATGGGCAGACGAATGTAAAAGGACCATCTATCTGTTTACACCCAACTGCACTCCGATTTGATCGGCCCAGATGGAGGAGAACGGATCCTCTACAGTTTGTTTATGGCAGATCAGATCGGACTGGAGGTAAGCAGTAGGCGGGTATAAACGGACACAAGCCCATTTACACCGGCTGCTTCCTACAGCAGAATGGAGGGAATGATCAGGTCCACTTTCCTCCAGAGCTTGGTAAATTAGGTGAAGCTTTACATTGCATGGAGTACCCAATCACACGCAAAGAAAATAAAAAAAAAAAAAAACGCATTTTTGCTTGCCCATGATTGAATGATGGAAGTCCCTCTTTTACTAAGCTCTGGAACAAATGCCCTTGCAGGGTATAACTGCACTTTCAAAGTGCACAGTCTATTTGCCTTTAGTAAATCAACCCCATTGCATCTAAATGAAGAAGCAGTGAAAAAGTGCTGCATTGTCTTTTTAAATCTTAAGACTGGAATACATGTGGAGCTACACTTGTATTACTAAGAAAGGCCAGAAGCAGATGTCACAGTCCTGTTCCTCTCACCATTCACAGAGGTTATGTTTTAGCTTTGTGTGATTGCCTGTTGAACACTTTTATTTCTTCAAGAATCCAGCTGTAGGACATAACCACCACGGTTCACTTTTCTACCCAATGATGGAGGTGTAAAATGAAATGACCAGCGCTGATTGAGCAACACCATCTTTAAGACCTTGTGGAAGTAGATGGAGGTACAATTTAATACACAGAAATAAAAAGATGAGACTTGGAGAACTGTAAGGCGACACTGGCTGGTTCATGTTTCTGTTGGCCAACACCAGTGACATCTGTTTGGGAAGAGCTTGACTTTTTATTTAAATCAGAACTACACTGCATCTGAGCACCACAAAGCAAAAATGCTGTTTAATTAATTTTTAATATTCAAAGCAAACTCCCCCATCCATCCATGTCTCCATGCTTCATTTTGTAGAAAAATCACTTTGAGAAAGATCCCCTAGCATTTCTAACCATGGCCATCTTGAGTAAAGGCAGATGATTCATGTAGCATTGACTTCCTGGAATCCATCTGCCCTTAGCTCAGGCATACAAGCAGAAGGGTGTGCTTAGCTTAGATGACAAAACCCCCCCTTCCCTCCAGAAGACTCCTGGGATGTATGACATCATTCGCCTAGGCAAAGAACCAGGAAGTAACTGAAGAAACGTAAAACAAATAATTCAAAACAAGTAAATATGATACACATTCCTATCTATATACTAATGCTAGCAGAAAAGGAATAAAAATAGTCAATGTTGATTGAGAGAGTTAAGTTCCGCTTTAACTGAAATGTCAACAACATACCTTTACCGTGAAAAAAAACACGTTAAATGGTGTCCCTGTACTTCGGATAGCCACACTTGCAGAGATTTACATCTCTGTTAATATGTGTGGTCACCGCTTCTCCCTACTGTGTGACAGCTGAGCAGGTCCAGACCAGAAGTAAAACTCAACTTTCCCTTGATGCATCTGGAGCTTTCTATAGTTCGCTTTGCGGAAGCTGTGCTGTAAAACAGCATGATGTAATGGAAAAGGTTAGAATGGAGAGTAAGGCAAAAATATGAAAGAAAAAAAGGATTCCCTTTCCTGAGCTTTTTAAAACAATGCTGAAAACTAAATGATCACCCCAAAAAAGGATTACCAACTATTTGTTTTTTTATTGCACTTTTAACCACTTCAAGTCCAGACACTTTTACCCCCCTTCCTGCCCAGGCCAATTTTCAGCTTTCAGTGCTGTCACAATTTGAATGACAATTGCACGGTCATGCAACACTGTACCCATATGCATTTTTTAGCAATTTTTTGAGACAGAGAAAACTTTATTTTGGTGGTATTTATTCATTACTGGGATTTTTTTTTTTTTTTTGCTATATAAATGAAAATGTCCAAAAATGTTGAAAAATAGTGTTCTTATAAAATTTTGCACATAATCTTTCTTCATAAATCTTGGCCAAAATGTATTCGGTTATCTTTTTAGAAAAAAAAAAAATAACCCAAATTAGTTTATAACCAAAAATGATAATTTTTCAAAAATGTTTTTACATTTTATTATTATTTGTGTTTTTTTAACATACCGTCACCATAATGACATTGTACTACTAGTGGAGGGTGAAGATTTTTTTTTTTTTTTTTTTTTTTACACGATTGCTTTTACACCCATAAAGGCTGTAAAAGTAATCATTTCTCCTTCTCTGGCTGCATTCTTGCAGCCATTGAGAAATACTGTGAGAGCTGTGACTGGTCACAGCTTGTCACATGGTACAAGGCTGTTGTGAAATAGTCTTGTACCATGTGACCTCTGTGATCAGTTATTGATTTATATTATTCCATCACATCCACGTCATGTGCTGTTCTGGGCTCCCCAAGGAGCGTTTCGTGCGACGCACGTTCTTTCAGAGGTAAGTGCTGAGCCTCTTTAATCTTAAACAGATTTCACTAGTAGTAAGCAATGATGTCAGCAAGTAATTGGCCAATTAGTGATCACATGATCGGAACCTCACACAGAGGTCCCGTACAGTGATCGGTGTTCCGGAGGACACCACGGGTACCGGATCACGGTGCCACGCGCTCCCAGGGAGCGCGCATAGCCTGTAAATGCAGGCACCATTTATGAACGGCAACCCGCTCCTGCACTGCTCCCATCCGGCCATTTATGTACATGGGCCAGACAGGAGTGGTTAAAGTATTTTCTAAAAAAACTGGCTGGCTCATGTATGGCCAAACCTACCTCATCGGATTCCCAGCTGGCTCTTGGGTTTCGGGATCGTCGTTTCTCAGCAAGCTGTTTCAGGTTATCTTTCCTCTTTTGCTTCTTGATTTGAACCTTGACTTCTTCTGAAACTCCGCCATCATTGGCTTTATTCAAAGAGTCATCATCTTCATCTATAGTACGACGCCGTCTGACGAGGACTCTCAAACCGGGCCCATCGCTGTCAGAGCTACTGTCACTGCTCTCTATTGTCATAGATCTGTTCTTGTGTCTGGGTTTCCTGATTTTCTCTTCACCATCATCTGCAGTACACTTCGGTACTTTCAGCTGTTCTTCATTCTCTTCACTGGATAGGCTGCTGCTATCAACTTGCTCCTCCTCTTCTTCGGATGTGGAAGTCAACTCATCAGAGTCAAGAATGTGGGATATAGTGTCTATTTTTGTACGTTTCCAGTCCACCCTGGACTTTGGAATGGGCTCATTTGACTTTCTTTTCTGTCTTGTTTGATATGTCTTGGAAGTACTTTCCATGTTTGCATGATAATAAACACCATCACTGAAAAAGAATATGAGAGAAAACTAGAGAATTCTAGTACAAAAAGATGGATTGCCAAAATCATAAAGGATGTTTAGCAAATACAATGGTCTACTAAGAATATCATTCTTGGCAAAGTGACCCTCTAAACTAGCCTTTTTACCTCTGAGGAACTAATGAAACATACAGTATTTCAGGTTCTTAGGGAACCCTTTCTAAAAAAACAGTCAAAAACGGTGGTGTCCTCTAATATTAGTGGTCAATGTAGAAGTGACCCATACATTGGTGGTTAGTGTAAAATTTGCCCCTTAGATTGGTTACAAATGTAGGTGGGAGATCAATCCATCATTACTCACTACTCAAGGAACCCCCTAGCAAACCTTAGGAGGAACCCCAAGGTTCTACAGAACCCTGGTTAAGAAACACTGCTCTAAACAATGTAAATGGCCATTAGTACAATGTTTGCATGATTTTGTCATTGCTCGTTGTGGTCCATCGCAGACTTTTTGTAAAGGGGAATCCCATGCAAAACCAACAGGACTGCTCTTGGGGTGGTGGTGGGGAAGTACATAACACATTCAACACACTCACTTACAACAATCATTCTATTATCCTTCTATTATCCAAAAATTGTGACTTCCCAAGCTAGAACCAATTAATTTAAATGGGAACCTTATGATAAGTGGAATACAGTCTGTTTGCAATTACTATAGTCAATCTCACTCCAATGAATGGTCTTCAGCAGGGCACATACGTATACTAGCTGAAATCTGGAAGGGAAATCCTGTACCACAGAGCCATCAAAGGGTACATCAAATTAGGAAAATCTTTGTTACTTTGCTCATTGACTACTCATTTGATTACTGGAAGTGGCTATTTAATTTTTTTTTAGAGTAGCCATGGCTGGTCACCACTGTGAATATTAGGATTTAGCATCAAATTCTCCATAAATCAGTAAGGAGACCTTGCACAGTAGAAGCGAAAATGGAAAATTTTCTCAGACGCTGTTGAGGGGAGCCAAGGATAGTGTAATACCATTAGCATTGAAATTTAGATACTCAAAGGCAGCCAAACTGAACAGGCTTCTCACATAGACAGAATTAATTTGACACATATCTGGATTGTTTTTGACACCCGCTTCTATGGTTATTGTAAGTCAGTATCAACATTTCCGTTGCTGGTCTATCACAGCATAAATTATTTTTCTGGTGTAACTTCTTGGATTAGGCTATAGCTATTATATGATTAGATGTTAAAGTGAACCTGTGACCAAAGCCTGTATGCCCTGTTATTTTTTTGTAGCGTGCCTTGCTTTCCTTACAAACCAGGTGATGAATTATAGTATAAACTGTATTACAGGATAAGCTGATCAGGACATATCTGCAGTAGCTATCATTGCTTTCTGCTGCAGTTGAATGTTGACCCATTTTGCATGTGCAAAGTTCTGGCACTACCTAGTAAAGAAAACGCCTGTCCATACCTAAAGCCTGGTTCACACCTATGCGTGTTGCAATCTGCTGCTGGAAAAAATTTCCTCACCCTTTCCAAAAATGCAGAGGCTGAAAACACAGATGTGAATGTGTCCCATAGGAAACCAAGTTAAATGGACCGTAGTGTGTTTCTGAAAAATGCAAAAAGCACTAACAAACGCATAGGTGTGAACCAGGCCTAACTACATCTCACACAATCCTACTGGATAACATGGTAACCTAATAAAGTAATGGGCCAATAGAAATGTGTGTGAGCCCTCCTGTGTCCCTTTTTGCACGCTTTTGATCCATCTTCAACCCCTACTTCAATGCTGTGACTTGTAGTGACAAAATGACTGGAAGATGAACCACGGCAAAGAGGACACAGGCTTCCGACATTTCCGAAAGTGTGGAAGATTCATGTATTGTTGGTAAGGTGCATGTTAAGCTGTCGCAGAATGACCTCAGACAGAATTTTGTCCCAGACACATTATTTACATGGGCAACATAATTTACTCCAATATGGAAACTTTTCCTATCACCAATATGGCACAAAAATATATAGAGTCGCACATAAGAACTACCTGAATTTGTCAGATACATTGGTAAAAGCAAGAAAAGCCACATGGCTTTCATGATTTTGGCTCAGAACTTTCTAATATGGCCACAATCTCAGAAAAGTGTCACCCCCAATAGCATGGAACTGTTTTTTGATGTTTATTGGGGGGAGGGGGTTGTGGCAAACTTGCTCATCCTTGTTGGAGCGGAGTCCCCCTTTACACTCTGCTTTTCAGTGTTCTATCTGTTTATCTGAGGCATTTTCAAATCACTCCTCACATCCCCCCTGCATTCCTGTGAGGCAGACTTTATCTCCTGGCAAATGGTGTGAGACAACCAGGAAGACATGAGAAGTGGAGCCATCCAGTCTGCAAAAGGTGTAATTTTTATCACCCAAAACTATGTAAGCCCACTCATTATCAAACCGACCAGAATAAGTGCACAGTCCTGAGGTCAACTGTATGGTTCATATCACGGGATATGAGCTAGTAATTTAGTGTAGAGTTCCCCAATGACCACTCCCAAAATGGGTAGTCAGAGCCCCCCCCTTCCCCTGAGAGGGACCCTTTAAGACTTTTAAGTGAGTTAGAGAGACACACACACACACACACACACAGGGATCTCCGAGCAACATCGTAACAGAGGAGATCAAAGAACCTTTCGGCTCACAACTTGAATTTGCTAAAACCAGGCAAGGCAAGTAACTTACCCTGTATTTTCTCGCTATTCTATGTTTGCTGTGTCTTTATATACATATATATATATTCTTGTGATATCTCTTTGTTCACATTTATTTTGCATCCAACGCTTTTAGTAATAAATCTTTCTTTCTGAAAGTGTTAAACTGTTTCTAAGCGCTTACTTGCAATTCACGAATCCCTGCCTTTGAAGAGACGCTACTGTTTGTTATATATCTCTGTATAGTAGGTCTGCGGGCCGTGCTATATATATCAATATTTCAATCATTATAGTGTATATTTGGTAACGGGAGTTTCCCAGTCTCCGACAAAAGTGGTGGTGGCAGTAGAGGGTTAGTTGCGTAACTGACCCGACCCAGTAACAAGCGCATTCAGGCTGCAGGCACCGATTGTAGTCCATTAGCTGGGCAATCGCCGTGTAGGGTGCAGCTGGGTGGGGCCTTGTTACGCGCGTCACACCGCGGTTTTGGATCGGCTGGCCCTTCAGCCACGAGTTTGGCGAGAAGGTCTGGGGTCTGACGCCGTGGGCGTGACGTATTACTGTTAGTCGCGGGCTGTGCGATTGTCGCCTGTTGGTGGCGGCGACCGCGGGTCGTGACAGGGGTAACAAGAATGTCACAGTAAATACAAAAAAATTTATGTTGACTGCAGTGGGGGGATTTACTAAAACTGGCGCACGCAGAATCTGGTGCAGCTGTGCACCGTAATCATTCAACCTTCCAGGTTTTATTGCCAAAGCTGAAAGAGGTAGTGAACCACCCAAAAAAATTAGCAAAAAATGTCCTCTGCAAAATAATACAATGCATCCAAAAAGTATTCACAGCAGTTAATTTTTGTCACATTTTGTTCTGTTACAGCATTCTTCCAAAATGGATTAAATTCATTTTTTACTCAACATTCTACATACAATACCCCATAATGACAACGTGAAAAACGTTTGTTTTCAAATCTTTGCAATTTATTAAAAATAAAAACCGAAAAAAAAAAAAAACACATGTACCTAAGTATTCACAGCATTTGCCATGACACTCAAAATTGAGCTCTGGTGCATCCTGATCCCACTGATCATTCTTGAGATGTGTCCACAACTTGACTGGAGTCCATCTGTGGGAAATTCAGTTGATTGGACATGATTAGGAAAGGCATAAACCTGTCTATATAAGGTCCCACAGTTAACAGTGCATGTCAGAGCACAAACTAAGCCAAGACTTCAGTCCAAGGAATTGTCCGTAGACCTCCGAGACAGGATAGTGTCAAGGCACAGATCTGGGGAAGGGTACAGAAACATTTCTTCAGCACTGAAGGTCCCAGTGAGCACAGTGGCCTCCATCATCTGTAAATGGAAGAAATTTGGAACCACCAGGAATATTCCTAGAGCGAGCCACCCAGCCAAAATGAGCGATCGAGGGAGAAGGGCCTTAGCCAGGGAGGTAACCAAGCACCAGATGGTCACTCTGAAAGAGCTCCAGTGTTTCTCTGTGGAGAGAGGAGAACCTTCCAGAAGAACAAACATCTCTGCAGCACTCCACCAATCAGGCCTGTATAGTAGAGTGGCCAGACGGAAGACACTCCTCAGTAAAAGGCAAATGGAAGCCCACCTGGAGTATGCCAAAAGGCACCTTAGGGACTCTCAGACCATAAGAAAGAAAACTCTCTGGTCTGATGAAACAAAGATTGAACTCTTTTGCCTGAATGCCAAGCATCATGTCTGGAGGAAACCAGGCAATGCTCACCACCTGGCCAATACCATACCTACAGTGAAGCATGGTGGTGGCAGCATAATGATGTGGGGATGTTTTTCAGCAGCAGGAACTGGGAGACTAGTCAGGATCAAAGGAAAGATGAATGCAGCAATATACAGAGACATCCTTGATGAAAACCTGTTCCAGAGTGCTTTGGACCTTAGACTGGGGCGACGGTTCATCTTTCAACAGGACAATGACCCTAAGCACACAGCACACACATAACAAAGGAGTGGCTACGGGCAAACTCTATGAATGTCCTGGAGTGGCCCAGCCAGAACCCAGACTTGAACCCGATTAAACATCTCTGGAGAGATCTGAAAATGGCTGTGCACCGACGCTCCCCATCCAACCTGCCGGAGCCTGAGAGGTACTGCAAAGAAGAATGGGAGAAATTGCCGAAAAATAGATGTGCCAAGCTTGTAGCATCATACTCAAAACAACTTGAGGCTGTAATTGGTGCTAAAGGTGCTTCAACAAAATATTGAGCAAAGGCTGTGAATACTTATGTATGTGTTTTTTTTTTTTTTTAATAAATTGCAAAGATTTCAAAA